GAACATACACAACAAGATTCAAAGTACTTATGCAAAATTCAACTGTGTACTTAAAGATTCAAGTTGTGACGCGCCACTACCAAAGATTCTCATTATGGCAATACTTGCTAGTTGTGCAAGTTCAAGATCAACAAAAAGTATCTAAATGCCCTCACACAAAGAATGATTCCATATTCACACCTATTGGTTAATCAATTTAAGATCATGAATCAGATGCAACGCTCACACTCAAAAAGAGGAACACAATGCATGTTTTCACCACAAGTTTACCTTTATTTTCCAATCGACTTTTGAATTGTCTTACTCAAGATAAAAAAGGTCTTTTCAAGGCTTGTAATGAGGCTGAGTGCAAAGGTATGGTCATTTAGGCTCAGTCACTTTTTCATCCTTGAGGTGTGGTGTTCTCAAGGCATTCCGTTCTTTCCCTCTTTCAATTCTTTTTCTAGTGCTTCTAAGTCATCTTTTTATTCACCTCAATGGATTACTAGGAAACCCAATTTCTTTTGTGCTTATTCCATAGTTTTATTTATTTATTTATTTTTTATGTTTCTGCAGCACCCTAGGTAAAATGGGACTCTTCTTGCACTTCTTGACTTCTCCTTTTCCTTTTTCACCACACCCCCAACTTAGGCTTTTAGCTATTTGCTAAACCACAAATCAAGAGGATTATAGGTAGTGGGTCAAATGAGGTCTAGGGTTCATCAATGTTCTTCCACAGAAAGGTAAGGCTCAAAGGGTGTTCAAAAGAGTTTCAGATGCTCATGGGTAGGCCACAAAAGAGGTATTTGTCAAATTTGTCTCACACTCTATAAAGTTGCTTAAGATCATTTCAAGAGCACACCTTTCTAAATCAATCAAACTAACAGGGAAAATTCTTGGTTTATTCATGCAAGGTTCACGGCAAGCTAATCACACAAGGCATCGACACTTAAGTCAAACAAGAGCACACACTTTCGCTAGTGTGCAACGGTTATTACAAGAGAATCAATTCGATAAATGGCTAATCACAATGGGATGCAAAGAGTTCACATATTGTTTATGCAACTTCATTTGGCCTCATCGTAGCCGTACATTCATATTGGTTCGATTGAGAGCTCTATTCAAGCCCTTGATAGTGATCGAAACTGAGACTCAAATTTTTTGCAAAACAATAGCCACATCAACTCAGGAGGGGTGGCAAAAATGTGTGAAAAATTCAAATTTTTTCGAAAGGGTCATAATAATTTTGCAAATAAAAATAAACGAAACCACAAGCTCAAACATCTACAGAAAATAGTATTAACACAATTTAAAACACCCAAATATATACACAAAGCACAACTATCAACACAAAGGGTGTGGGCCTCACCCGACCACAAAAAAAATATTTGTCCTCAAATATATAACAATAATCCAAAGGTAAAATTAAAGAAAGACAGAGATAGGGCTAGAGAATAATCCTGGTTAGGTAGCTGTTTCGAGTTGAAGTCCTTCAACAGATGTCGCGTAAAGCAAAAGGTATGTTGGGGACATTTGGTGCATTGCTGAGTGATTCATCAAGCTCTGTACAACTTTTCTTAGTATTCCAATGCACCTATCTTCAACCCACACTCTCGAGTGATTATCAGCTACCTTTTTGTGCACTGGCCTGTAGCTTATCCAGTTCGTTCCCATTTAGTGATAGTTCTTTGACTTCTGAGTTATTTGCCACTTTTCCAAACAAATTTTCACTTCGCCAAATTTTACAAAACTTCTCAACATCTGTGGATGTTCAAACAGTGATGACCATCGGGGTTGCCAATCAGGTGGGCGAATTGCCGAATCCTTCTTAAGATCGTCAAGCTTTACAGACTCCAATCTCAGAGGGTGCCTTGAGTCAAACGACAAAATAACATTGATCACTGGCGTCTTCGGCGACTCGCCAATTGGGTCTGCTACTCACCATTCTGCACCTCTTTGGCACCTACTACACTTTAAACTGTAAAACTAAGACACTATTATTTTACTAGTACACAAATATAAGATAATAAGGGGTTTTGGGTTGCCTCCCAAACAGCGCCTTTAGTTAACGTTGTGGCACGACGCAAGTTAAGACTTTAAGCTTTATAGTTGGAGCCACCCACATCATGATGAGGTAACCCCTGGTTTTCATGTGCGTGAACATGAGGTAAGGCCTACTCTATAAGCTTTTATAGCTGCTAGACAGCTTTGGAGTGAGACCAATTTACGCGCTTTATGCCTTCAGTGTGCTCTTTCAATTTGTCCAGCGCTCCATCATGCTCACTCAACTTCAGCAGAATGGTTGAGAGCATTTCCTCAATGCGTTCCACCTCCTTGTCCCTATAACTCTTTCTTTCACCAAGAGGGGCACATTTATCCTTTTTCTTGCAATGAGATTTAATCTTCATCACCCTCTTGGCCAATACATCCACATGTGACCTCATCGTGGCAAACATAACATCCTTCTCAATCACTCGCCCAAATTCAGCCATGTGGTGTAACAACTGATCCACCATCATATAGGGAATATGTGCAATCTCTCCTGGAATTAGTTGATCAGGTAACTGCTTGTTTTCGGAGTAGAGGCTTCTGTAGAAGCAGTCCAGAAGAACCATATCAGGGATGCCATGATTTGGACATTTAGTTATTAGCCCTTTGAATCGTGGCCGCTATTTATGTATTTGTTCTCCCTCCAACTGCTTGAAGGTCAGTATGCAATCTCGAAGCCTCATTACCTCTAGTGGAGGAAAATCCATTGATTTGTGGGTGCTTATTCAACCTAGTTACACAGTGCTTAAAAGCACAACTTAACAGAGCGAGATCAAGAGTAAGGTTAGTAAAACTATGGCTAAAACAGAACGAAAACTTAACTTAGCTACAATTTCTCAAGTAACACCACTCCCCGGAAGCGGTGCCATTTTGATGCCTATCGTGACCAACGACTACCGTACGAGTGTCTACATTCGTCGATAATATAGTAACCCAACTAAAGGTCGGGGTCATATCCCAAGGGAATAATTTTGAGAATTAATAGAAAAATAAAATTTAGTTCTAATTAGTCGGACCTCGAGACATTAACGAACAAAAACATTGCAAATTAAAGCGGGTGACACAAAAATGTCAAATATCAATTGGGGGTTTTGTCAAAAGTAGCAAAAACAACAAAAGTAAACAAGAAAATCAATTATGGGAGAAAGCTCTTGGTGTGTGACCATAATACAATTTGAGATAAATCGTTGGGTACATGCTTTCCATAGGAAATTTACAAGATAATAGTGACTAGGCTAAGCTTTAAATGGAAATAAGTTCCCTCTCGGGCAACTTACCCCGTTTCAAATGGGTTCCTCTCGGACACCCACTTGCCGCATGAAGACCAACCTATACCTTACCCCACTCACTCAATCAAGCTGAGTGTTAGGATATGGGACTAGGGTTTACCCTGTCGAGAAGAACCACATGTAAACCCACTTCTTAGGCCATCAATCTAGTGGTCTTGGTTTCGCGACCTACCTCTCGGGCAAGCCAAAAACAAATGGGTGGTTTTCTATTTGCAACTAAAAACCCATTAAATTAGACCACAACCACTAGTGAAATCACCATTAAAATACATCTAACCTATCAGTAAGCAAGACCCGACAACAATATCAACACGTATTTGCTAAATCACACCCCAAGAATGAGGGTTTTTAGCCACACATCAACAAATAACAAAATACACCTAAAATGATACTAAAATGAAATGGGTATAAGAAATTATACCTTGTTTTAAGCAAAGAAAGAATAATGGAGAAGACCCACTTCCAACTTGGGGAAGATGAAATCCTTCTCTCTTCAAGTTTCCCACAAAACCCTCTCCAAACGTGAGAGAAAATGTGCCAAAAAGTACTATTCTATGCTGAAAATTAAAATAAATGTTCGACTCTTCTAAAATTAATAATAAGTTTAGTATTTATAGACTTCATAAAATAGTGTTGGGCGAAACTTTCGGTAAGGTTAGTCGATGTCACCGAATGACTTGGCGACTCACCTTTCTTTTGTTTCATCGCCGTTTCGTGGTTACCTTCAGCATCTTCACGTTTTAGATCATTGGGCGGTATAGTACTACTTCATAGAAATACTCGGCGAAGCGCCGACTGCTCCTTTTATTGCCTTTTGATCCTTCTTCTTTAGAGCTTCGCGTACTTGAACAAAGGGCAGAGTGAATCCCTTCGGCGAATCACCATGTCTACTTGGCCATACTCAGGCTTCATCTTCTTCGTTCTTTTCAGCCTTTTTGTTCCTTTTTGTGCCTAAGTGTCCATGCTTTCAATAAAACTTCAAATACTTGAAATTTAAGATATTGAGACAAAATAAGCATTCGAGGACACTATTATTATCAAAATAAAGCCCTAAATGAGTCCAATTTGTGGAGTTATCACTATCATACTTGGTACATATTTTGTACTAACACATACTCTTTCCTACTCTTCCCCAAATGTAGGGTCTGACAGTCAGGGTTCTCAGTTTTGTGGCTAGAGGTTGATTTGAGTGATTTCGAGCTTCGGTGAGTTCTCATGCTTCGAGGATGTAGTTTTATTATTTTATGTTTTTGTATAGGCAAGGTCCAATTTTATTCTTGTGTACTAGGCTAATGAGACAAGTGTTTAGACTTCCGCTATACTTTTATAAAACTTTGGACTTGTAATGTTGTTCTTTATCTCTTATTCATTCTATGCCTTATGTTTGGAATGATAAGTTGCTTGTATGGGGCCTCTCGGGGTCCTATACGCCATGTTACACCTAGGGGTACATTAGGTCGTGACAATCTTTGTAATCAGAGCACAAGGTTTAGAAAGGTCCTAGGAATTCTCATAAGCCGCGTTGAGTAGAGTCTTGTTCATGAGTGTGAAGCGCGCCACACTTATGAATGAGAGGCTACAAGATATTAGGAAATGCCACTTATTGTATTACCCTAAACTTGTGCAATATAGTTTAAATCTATAAGGTCTGTCTCTTAATCCTTATCTGATGCTCTATAGGATATGGCAACTCGACGAGCTTATGCTAGAAAGAATGTGAGGGAGAATGCTGAACAAGAAGCTCCTCCTCAAGCTCCGGTCAACCCATTGGCCGAACAATTGACTAATGCGGAGTTTAGAGATGCTTTTCAAGTGTTAGACCAATCCATGACAACTCAAGCCAATAGGGAGGTTGCAGTTCCCGTGAACCCATATGTGGGTACGGTAGAATCTATAGTGAGGGACTTCACTAGAATGAATCCTCTGGAGTTTCATGGTTCAAAGGTTGATGAAGATTCTTTAGAATTCATTGATGAGGTCTACAAGGTGTTGATGATCATGGGAGTGACTACGGCGGAAAAGGCAGATTTGGTGGCTTATCAACTTAAGGGTGTTGCTCAAATATGGTGCAACCAATGGAAAGAAGGGAGACCAGAGAATGTGGGTCCTCTCGATTGGGAGAAATTTAAGGGTGATTTCCTAGATAGGTTTTTTCCCCTTAAGATGAAGGATGAAAAGGTGCTTGTGTTTATCAACCTTCGTCAAGGAAGTATTAGTGTGAAGGAATATTTTAAGTTCACACAATTGTCTAAATATGCCCCTACAATGGTTGCCAATCCTAGGGAAAAGATGAATAAGTTCATTTCAAGTTTGTTCAAAGTGGTGGTTAAAGAATGCCGTACCATTATGCTCGTTAATAACTTGGACATTTCTCATCTCTTGGTTCATGCTTAATAAATCAAACAGGAAAACTTAAGGAAATGTCTAGGGAGACAAAGAGGGCTAAAATCGGTGATGGTAATTTCTCTCATGCAAGGTCTTATGGACATGGTTGTTCTTGATTTTGACAAACGTTTTTCGGTCAAGGTTCCTCCAATGCTCCTTCTAGGTTCAACAAAGAGAGGATGTCTAACCCTAATCATGAAGGAGGAAATGGTAGTGGGTCATTATTGCCTACTTGTGCTAAGTGTGGAAGAAAGCATGAGGGTAAATGTTTAGCGGGTTCCAATGCTTGTTTTGGTTGTGGTAAAATGGACCACAAGATAAGAGATTGTCCTTCAATTGCTAAGAATGAAGGAGATAATCGTCGAAAAGCTCTACCAAATCCTTTCTCCGGTCCAAGCTATTCGGGTTCAAATACTCCCTAGAAAAACTGACTTTATGCACATTATACACATGGTGAGCAAGAGGATTCTCCCGATGTGGTTATCGGTATGTTGAAAGTCTTCCAACTTAAAGTTTATACTTTACTTGACCTTGGTTCTACCTTTTCTTTTGTAATGTCATATGTGGAAATGAGGTTTGATATTCTTCTGTATGTGTTGTTAAATCCATTTTTTGTCTCTACTCCTCTTGGTGGTTCTATTATGGCTAAGAGGGTCTATATAAAGTTTATCATATCCTTGTCCCATAGAGTTACTTTTGTTGCCTTGGTAGAGCTAGATATGCTAGATTTTGATGCTATCCTTGGTATGGATTGGCTACACTCATGTTATGCTTATGTTGATTGTAGAACTCGTGTAGTCAAGTTTCAGTTTCCGAATGAGCCTGTCCCAAAATGGAAATGGGGAAATTATATGACTATGGGTAAGTTTTTCTATTGTCTTAAAAGTAGAAAAATGATTTCCAAGGGTTGCTTATACCATCTAATTAGGGTGAGGGAGGTAGATTCCTACCCTTGAGTCGGTCCCCATTATTAACGAGTTTCCAGAAGTTTTCCTTGATAAACAACATTGTATTCCTCCCAAAAGGGAAATAGACTTTGCTATTGACCTTCTCCCAAATACGCAACGTATCTCTATGCCTCCTAACCGAATAACTCCGATAGAACTTAAGGAGTAGAAAGAAAAATTGAAAGGTTTATTGGATAAGGGTTTAATCAGACCGAGTATCTCTCCATGGGGTGCTCCAGTTTTGTTTGTTAGAAAGAAGGATGGTTCTCTTCATGTGTATAGACTATTGACAATTGAATAAGGTTACCATTAAGAATAATTATCCTCACCCAAGTATAGATGATTTGTTTGACCAACTTGAAGGAGAGAGTTACTTATCTATGATTGACCACCGGTTGGGTTATCACCAATTGAGGGTGAAGGAAGATGATATTCTGAAAATGGCTATTAAAACCTGATATGGTCATTCTATGTTTTTGGTGATATCTTTTGGTTTGACTAATGATCTAGCCGCTTTTATGGATTTGATGAATAATGTGGTTAGATAATATCTTGACATGTGTGTGATTGTGTTCATTGATGATATATATGTATCTATTCGAGAAGTGAGGATGATCACATCAATCACTAAAGAATTATGTTGGAAATTCTCAAATACCAACAACACTGTGCAAAATTTAGCAAATGTGAGTTTTTGCTACAGTTTGTGGCTTTTCTTGGTCATATTTTTTCAATTATGTGTATTGAGGTAGATCCTAAGAAGAAGGATGTGGTTAAGAGTTGGCCTAGACCTCTATTCCCTTTGGATATTAGGAGTTTCTTGGGTTTGGCTGGTTATTACAGAAGGTTTGTTAAGGGATTTTCTTCCATTACTTCTCCATTGATAGAATTGACTCAAAATTAGGCTAAGTTCATATGGTCCGAATCATGTGAAATGAGTTTTTAGGAATTGAAGGATAGACTTACTTCTTCTCCGGTGTTGACCTTGCCGGAAGGGACTGATGGTTTTGTTGTTTATTGTGATACCTCGATAATTTGGCTAGGATGTGTGAATATGGAAAATGGGAAAGTCATTCCCTATGCTTCAAGGTAACTTAAGGTGCATAAAAAGAATTATCCTACCCATGAACTTGAACTAGCGGCAGTTATTTTTGCCTTAAATATTTGGAGGCACTATGTGTATTCTCTTCATGTGGATGTTCTACCAACCATAAGAGATTAAAATATGTGTTTAATTAGAAAGATCTAAATCTTCACCAAACAAAGTGGTTTGAGTTATTGAAAGATTATGATATGAGTGTTCTCTATCACCCCAGTAAAATTATTGAGGTGGTGGATATCTTAGTTGATTTTATATGGGTATTGTTGCTTATATTGAAGAAGATAAAAATGAGTTGGTCTGAGATATTCATAGATTGGTTGGTTGGGTGTTTAGTTAGTGGACTCTACGAAGGGTCGTGTTGTCGTCAACAATGGTTCAAAATCTTCTTTTGTTGAGGATGTGAAAGTGAAGCAAGGTCTTCATCCAACTTTGATTAAATTAAGAAAGCGGTGCTTAAGAAATCCGTGGAGGCTTTCTCCCAAGGGAGAGATCGAGTGCTTAGATATCAAGGTCCTTTGTATGTTCCTAATGTTGATGAGTTGAGGGAACAAATTTTGTCAGAAGCCCATAGTTCTCGGTATTCCATTAATCCGAGAGCCACCAAGATGTACTGTGATTTGTGGGAGATCTATTGGTGGAATGGAATGAAGAAGGATATTTCGGAATTTGTGGCTAAGTGTCCTAATTGCCAACAAGTGAATGTTTAACATCAGAAACTGGAAGGTTTATCCCAAGACAATAGCATTCCTACGTGGATGTGGGAAGATTTAAATATAGACTTCATTGTTGGTTTTCCTCGGACCCGGTGACAACATGACTACATTTCGGTTATAGTAGATCGAAAGATGAAATTATCTCATTTCATTCAAGTCAAGGTTTCTTACTCGACGGAGGGTTATGCTAAGTTGTATTTGAGGGAAATGGTAAAGTTTCATGGAGTTCCTTTGTCCATTATCTTCTATCGAGGTATTCGTGTTAAGATTAGTATGAGCTTGCATCCACACACCAATGGGCAAGCGGAGCGTAGTAACCAAACCTTGGAAGGTATGTTAAGGGCTTGTGTGATTGATTTCAAAGGTAATTAGGATGATCACTTTCCACTGATCGAGTTTGCCTATAACAATAGTTATCACTCAAGTATTGGTATGGCTCCATTTGAGGCGCTATATGTTAGGAGGTATAGATCTCGTACAGGATTGTTTGAGGTGGGTGAATTTTCCCTAATAGGTCCCAAGTTGGTCCGTGCGGCAATGAAAAAAGTCCAACGTATTTGAGAAAGGTTGAAAATGGCTCAATGTCAACAAAAGTCATATGCCAATGTTAGAAGAAGAAATCTTGACTTTGAAGTTAATGATTGGGTCTAGTTGAGAATTTCAACCATGAAGGGTGTTGTTACGACCCACAAAAAAGTAGACCCTCACATGGGTTTTATGCATTAATAAAATGTCAAAATAATGAAGAATAGCTTTAAGTCAGTTTTAAAGAGTTTGGAAGTCAAACGTCAAGGGACGATCAAGAAATTCAGAAAGTAGTCTTTTGCGTGTTGATGTGTTCTAGTATGTTGTTCATGTTTTTATGTGTTGTTTGGAGTCTAAAATCAGTAGAGGGGACCCTAGTGTCTTAATAAATGTTTTTAGTGTCAAAATGTTCAGATACGACGCCCGGGGGCAACCCTAAGGGTCGCCAAGGAGGACCCCAACCTTGGCAAAGTAAACTGCCAAGGCAGCTTGAATTTTGCTTGGAGGGAGCATGTCCGCGTCGCGGACTAGGTCCACCAAGGGCCAAAAGGTTGGTCCGCGTCGCGGTCACATCGCGGACTCTACTGTCTTGTAATTTAATTTATGAAAACTTGTGGGAACACCTCTGCATCGCGAACTTGTTTCGTGAAGAAATCTGTGAAAATAAAACTCAAGTTTGATTTGTTTAAAAGGTCAAACTAAGTGAGTGGTAGTTTGGGTACTTTGGGAAATTATTATAAATGGTTATTCTTCCTACTTTAGGGTATTTTAAGTTGGTTAAAACCCTAAAACCTAGAATTAGACCCCATTTTTCAAATTGACCCTTCCCTCTCAAAATAGATTCTCTCAAAAACTCCATTGAAGTCCTTGATGAAGCTCAAGCTAGAAGATGGGTTTTCAATTGATTTCTTCTTCAATTTTACGGGTCTTCAATAATTAAGGTATGGTGACTCTTGATTCTTGAATAACCTATCATTCAAGGAGTTCTATCAAAGATTTTCAAAAGTGATTCAAAGACCAAAATTCTCAATTTTCAATCTAAACATGGGTTCCTTGTCAAATGATTTTCTAAATCATTATATTGATGAATTAATGTGGAATTAATGTTTTTAAGACAATCTTCAAAGGAATTATTGAAGAACCCATTATCCCCAAATTCTCGAAAATTGGCCTATGATGTGGGTCTTTGTGAATATGATCTCTATTAGTGAAATTATGTTTAGATTAAATTTTATTGATGTTTCTTACGATTATATATACTTATTCATGTTGAATTGTCGGCATATTGATGAGTTGAGGATTACGGCCTTATGGGCAAAGTTATGGGTTGATCCCTTTGTTTATGGAATCGTACTTAGACTAAGTTGATGATATTGAATTACATTGCCAATTCCTATTGCTAGCTATGTCAATTGATTATGAATTGTTGAGGATTGATCCATGGTGATCATGGCTTGTAGAATTGGTAAGTTGACCTAACTTCTAGTCTATAGTATGAGAATTGATGTTGTGTGGTGTGATCCACTTATGGTGGGGGTGTTCACTTCTTGTCTATCTATGCATGTGGAGATCATGGCATTGAAGACAATAGATGTGATTTGAATTGATGATCATGATGCATATTTTTATGAAGTTATGCTATGAAGGTTATGTATGAAATCCTCAATGCTAGCATGATGTTTAAAGTGTGTTGATGATGAGGAGTATAATGGGAATAATAATGTTAGGGATATGGTGCGGTCTACATGATAGATTATGTTAGGTACTATTGTGGAATGAACCCTACCTATATGACCCCTATATTAATGCTTTATCATATACATGTTAGGAGTACCTATTCAATGTTGAATGTGTCCTTATCTCCTATGTTGAAGTGTGGGCGTGTGGTCTAGAATCCCTAAGGGCTTTATATTTGAATTGCTCATGAATTGGGGACATTGTGAATGTGTTGTGATCCCTTTAAGGGAAAAACATTCAATATCAATGTTGTTGCTAATATGTCACTATGAGGACCAATATGCGCACACACACACTCTACATGTATAGCTATGAATATGATGTGTTATGGTGTCTTTTGAAAGGTGAACTCTTATATGCATCCTTACATCTTATTATGCATGCAAACTATAAGATTA